CTTGTCTGGTGTGCAGATTTTTGTTTAGCATTGTATTAACTATATATATATATATATATATATATATATACACATCCACACACACTGACGTATATACACACACATATATATACATCCACAAACACTGACGTATATACACACACACATATATATATACACATCCACACACACTGTCGTATACACATTTATATATATATGTATCCACACACACTTACGTATATACACATTTATATATATATGTATCCACACACACTGACGTATACACATTTATACATATATGTATTCGCACACACTGACATATACACATTTATACATATATGTATCCACACACACTGACGTATACACATTTCTATATATATGTATCCACACACACTGACGTTTACACATTTATATATATATGTATCCACACACACTGACGTATACACATTTATATATATATATATATATGTATTCACACACACTGACGTATACACATTTATACATATATGTATTCACACACACTGACGTATTCACATTTATATATATATGTATTCACACACACTGACGTATACACATTTATACATATATGTATTCACACACACTGACGTATTCACATTTATATATATGTATCCACACACACTGACATATACACATTTATATATATATGTATCCACACACACTGACGTATACACATTTATACATATATGTAGTCGCACACACTGACGTATACACATTTATACATATATGTATCCACACACACTGACGTATACACATTTATACATATATGTATCCACACACACTGACGTATACACATTTATACATATATGTATTCACACACACTGACGTATTCACATTTATATATATATGTATTCACACACACTGACGTATACACATTTATACATATATGTATTCACACACACTGACGTATTCACATTTATATATATGTATCCACACACACTGACATATACACATTTATATATATATGTATCCACACACACTGACGTATACACATTTATACATATATGTAGTCGCACACACTGACGTATACACATTTATACATATATGTATCCACACACACTGACGTATACACATTTATACATATATGTATCCACACACACTGACGTATACACATTTATACATATATGTAGTCGCACACACTGACGTATACACATTTATACATATATGTATCCACACACACTGACGTATACACATTTATACATATATGTATCCGCACACACTGACGTATACACATTTATACATATATGTATCCGCACACACTGACGTATACACATTTATACATATATGTATCCACACACACTGACGTATACACATTTATACATATATGTATCCACACACACTGACGTATACACATTTATACATATATGTATTCACACACACTGACGTATACACATTTATATATATATATATATGTATTCACACACACTGACGTATACACATTTATACATATATGTATTCACACACACTGACGTATTCACATTTATATATATGTATACACACACACTGACATATACACATTTATATATATATGTATCCACACACACTGACGTATACACATTTATACATATATGTAGTCGCACACACTGACGTATACACATTTATACATATATGTATCCACACACACTGACGTATACACATTTATACATATATGTATCCACACACACTGACGTATACACATTTATACATATATGTAGTCGCACACACTGACGTATACACATTTATACATATATGTATCCACACACACTGACGTATACACATTTATACATATATGTATCCGCACACACTGACGTATACACATTTATACATATATGTATCCGCACACACTGACGTATACACATTTATACATATATGTATCCACACACACTGACGTATACACATTTATACATATATGTATTCGCACACACTGACGTATACACATTTATATAAGCATACACACAATAACACATGTATGCAAACTTACATACACACTAATATATAAACATTAATTAAAAACCAAAGAAAGAGCTGGAGTTTTTAGTATGGCTCTAATGGCCATTAGGTGGAAGCTCACATCATGGAAGCTGAAGGAAGGAAGGTGAATTGTTAGGGTACGACCCACGTGAGAGGAGAGGTTTGCCCTGATGTGGCAGGTGGACTTCCATCTAATGGCCACTGGAGTGGGACTACAAACTTTCTATAATTATGTGTAGCGATCTGGATAGTGCCGAAGTAACTCTTTTCTTTCTATTTTATTGTATGTATTGGGGCTGTGCCTCCCAGGGGTAGTGGGAGTCTGAGTGCATTTTTGTATATTTATATCACATTTATACAAACTTACAAACACAGACACACACTAACATATACACGTTTATACAAACTTACACACACACACACACACTAACATATACACGTTTATACAAACAGACACACACTAACATATACACGTTTATACAAACACAGACACAGACACACTAACATATACACGTTTATACAAACACAGACACACATACATATAGTTACACACAATGACAATGACAGCCTCACTCCTAAGACCTTAATGGTGAATGGGAGAACAATCAGGTGCGGTGAATTCTTCCATTTTCCCTAAAAAGTGTATTGAAAATAGGGTTCAATCACAGCATCTAATGTCCAAGGGACACGTACCGAGAAACGGGGACGGTTAGTAAAATGGATGGCCAACTCGATCCAATGAATAATTCAATCTCCATTAAAAGACAAAATGCAGGTTTAACCCCTCAGACAGAACTGGATAAAGCTGCGACAGAAACATAACTGGGAGCTTTAACATCTGTTTTATTATAAACCAAGAGAGTGAGAGAAGAGGGGAGTAGGAAAGAGAGGAAGGAAATAGGAAGAGACAGAGAGAGAGAGAATTCTGTAACAGT